GGAGACCAGCCTGAGCAAGACCCCTCTCTACCAAAAACAGAAAAATTAGCTGGGTGTGGTGGCGCACGTCTGTAGTCCCAGCTACTGGGGAGGCTGAGGCGGGAGGGTCGCTTGAGCCCAGGAGCTGGAAGTTGCAGTGAGCTATGATGATGCCACTGCACTCTAGATGGGGTGACAGAGAAAGACTGTCTCAAAAAAAAAAAAAAAAAAGCAGTTGTATACAGTAATATTATATAATACATACTGAAATATACTATATTTGCGATAACCAAACGAAGAAGGGGGTGGGAGCAAAGCCATCTTGGGCTAAGGAAACAACTGCAGATGGTAAAGTAATAATGTTCACACTGTATCGCTGAGTTTGTAACAGCAGTAGATGTATATGTACAACAGAGTATCACAAAAGTGGATAAAGGGAAAACATATAAGAGTAACATTTCTTTATCTCACTGGAATTAACTTGGTACAAATCTGAAGTTGAAGCACATGGTAAAATACGGAGCGACCACTGGAGGCAAAAAATATAGTGAAGGAAAACCAACTTAAAACGCTACATTAGGAAATACTTATGCAAAAGAAAATATTCACTTTAATCCACTTACCAGAGGAACAGGGGAACAAAAAAAGATTTGTAAAAAGAAAACAAAAAGTAAAATGACATGTAAATCTCATTACTGTATATTAATGACACTAAATGTGAACGGGCTAAACAATTCAATCAAAATCAAAATCAGCCCGGATTTTGAAACGATCCAACTCCACGCTGTCTACAGGAGACGCACCGGGTTCACAGACAAACGGCACAAGGAGTGGAACTCAGCAGGGGTCACTCCAGTCCGAGAAACCAGGGGAGCCCAAGCACAGCTCCGAGGCTCCCAGGGACACCCAGGTCGGGTCCCCGTGCACAGGGACCCCTCCCTCCCTAAGCCTCGCCCCACCAGGGACCCTCACCACGCGCCACGCACCGGCATCCCGCGTCAACCTTCCCCACCCTCCAGGGTGGACCCCTCATCGCCCCACTTTCTTGCACATGGCAGCTGTGCCAAGCTGAGGGCCTGGCACGTGACCTCCTCTGGGGGGGCAGCAGCAGCCAGCACTGCCCAAGCGGACCAGCTTGGGGAGGGAGACTAGGAGCCCCCTCTGGCTGGGGGTGTGGTCTGGCCTGGAGCCCCTCCTCCTAGGGGCGTGGCCTGGTACTCCCTCCTCCCAGGGGTGTGTCCTGCAGCCCCCTCCTCGCGGGGGCGTAGCCTGCAGCCACCCCACTCCCTGGGCGAGGCCCAGGCGGAGGCGGCCCGTCGGCCCGAGGCGTCCCAGGGCCTTCTGGGCTCCCCAGACAGCGGGCAACCCGGAGACTCGCGTGTCCCGGCGCAGCCCCGGCCAACCTCGGGCCCTCACCTTCCGGCTCCTCATGAGTGTGCGCGCGCTGCCTCGCCAAGCCCCGCGCCCCGGCCCAGCTTCCCCTGAGCCGCCACCAGACACCCCTCGGCCCGCGGCGCTACGGCGTCTGACGTCAGCAGACAGCCGGCCAATCACGGCCCGGAGTCCCTGGGCATGTGACCCAACAAAGGTGACTCTTTACGTAAACGGGCGGGGCGCGGCTCGGGGAACTTGGGCCCCCGGGCGGGAGCCAGAGCGTGAAGTCTGGCGGCCATCTTCGTGAGGGGCGCACCCCTCTGTGCGTCTTTCTCCGGCATATTTGAGAAGGGCAGGCGGCCATGTTTTTGAGAGGCCGCCCTTCGTTGCCCGTGTCCGCCATGTTTGAGAGGGGCGCACGGCTACATTCGTGAGGGGCGCTCCTCTCGATGCACCTGTGTCCATGTTTGAGCGGGTCGGGCAGGCATGTTTGACAGGGGCGCTCCCCTCGGTGCACGTGTGTCCGCCATGTTTGAGAGGGGCGCCCCCTCGCAGTCCGGGCCCCGCGACCGCAGCCGGCCGGAGGGAGGTGTCGCTCTAGGGCCGCGGGCGCTGCTCTCTGCGGGCCGGGAGGCCCCGTCGCGGTGGGAGCTGAGCTCCGAGCGGGCCCGGCCCCTGTCGCGCGGCCCGGCCGACCGCTGTGGGCTCTGGGGAGTGCCGGCCCGGCCCTGCGCGGTTCTCGTCCCGCCGTGGGGAGCGAGGCGGCGCTGAGGCGGGAACGCGAAGTGTCACCAAGTGTCGCCAATTCACACACACACATGTTCACACACGCACACACATTCATATGCACTCACACGTGCACTTGCTCTCCTACACGCTGACACATGCTGACAAACAGGGTCACATTCGTGGTCGCATTTATACACAAGCTCACACACACACTGACACACATTCATGGTTGTAAGGCTGGCCAAAGACCCCCACAGGCACAGCGACAGCCCCGTGCCCCTTCCCTGCTGGCTTGCAGCCGGGGCCAGACCGCATCCTGTTAGGACTGGCAAAAACAGCTACCCTGGCTGAACACCCTGAGCTCGGCTTCCTGCTCTACCCAGCTGCTGCTGGCAAAGTACTCGGGCTTCAACGACCACATCCTACCGGAATGTTCCAGGACCCCCTTTTTCACCCCACATATAAAAACCCTGCCTTAGTCCTGGGCGGCGCGACTTCTCAGGCCCTGACCTTAGGACCTGTGAACCTCGCCCAGGAGCGCTTTAATAGAGCCACTTGTTTGGCCATAACTTGTGTCCGCTGGTCTCTCCGCCACCGAAAACCTTACAATGGTCATACTTATACGCACATGCTCACACATCTCATGCACATGCTCACATGTTTGCACATGTACATACACATGCTCACGCACACAATCATGCTCACACAGCAAGCACATGCTTACATTTATACACACATTCATACGCACTCATGCGTATGAATACGCACACACACTTATACACACATGCTTATATGCTCATGCTTACACACATACATGCTCTCACATGCTCACACTGCTCACACACATGGTCACATACACGCTCATACACATGCTTACACACTCATACACATGCTTACAATGCGCTCACACTCATGCTCATACACGTGCTCACACATGATTTCACACATGCTCACACATGCTCATGCACATCTGGCATTCATACAACACGCTCACACATTCATACACACATGCACACAGTCACACATTCACTTCCACACATGCTCACACTCTCACACTTGCGCGCTCACACGCTCCCTGCTGAGGCTGCTGGGCCGTCTTCCCCCGGCCCTGTGCTGCTCCCACCTCATTTCCCAGCGCTCAGAGGGGACCAGACAAGCAAGTGATGGCAGGGGGTCCCTTTGAACAGGAAACTCACGTAAGCGCTGCCAGCTGTCCAGAACACCCGAGTGATGCTCTGCACACGCCTCGCCCATCCCGTCCCCCAAGCCTGGGCTCACAGCGAGCTGGGCCAGTGCTTTTACGTCGAGTCCTTCAGAGTTCAGAGTGCTTGTCAGCTGGGGCTTGCTCCTGGCAGCCGATCCTCGGCCCTGCAGGCATGTGTGGTCGTGTGTGAACACCGCACGGCCTGGTGGTGCCCAAAGGGTCCATCCGAGCCTGACCTTCCTGCCCTAGTGTGCCCTGTCCCCCCACTCCCAAGCGAGGATGTGGGTGGCATTCCCAGCGTCCCAGCTGCTCAGGCCTGACGCTGGGCCAGCCCTGCTGGTTCCAGGCTGCGCTGCCCGGCAGGTGGTCCTCCTTCTCCGGCCTGCACACCCGTAGCAGCCAGGGGAGCCCCGATCGGCGACGGCCTGACCCTGCTAAAGTGCTTTGGTGGCTTCCCAGTGTCCAGGACCCAGACCACAGTCCTGACGTGGCCTGTGAGGCCAGCATGTGCCTGGCTGAGGAGCTCCGGGACAATTGCTGAGCGAACCTGTGTGGCGCCTCGAGCTTGCCCACGGTCACTTCTCCCTTCAGACTTGTGTAGCCCAGCGCCCTGCCCCCACCTTGCTGTCCGCGCTGCCCCTCAGCCCCAGCCCCCTGCGCGGCCCCCGCCCCACTTCTCCCTGCCTGAAACCCCCTTCCCCGCCCTCCCACCCCCCTTTTCCTGGCTGATCCATTCCTCAAACATCAACGCAGCTTAAATCCCATGTCTTCAGGGGCGTTCCCAGCTGTGCCGCTGCCCTCCCCAGTAAAATCTGCCATGCAGCTCGTTCAGCTTCTGTGCCTTCCCACCAGGACACGGGGGCAGGTTGGGCTCTTTTCTCTCCCCCGTCCCAGACTGCGGCACATTCATTCATTCATTCAGCACACGTCTGCTGAGTGCCTGCCAGGTGCCAGGGCCTGGGCCGGGCCCAGGGCTGCGGTGGTGGCTGGCTGGGGCCAGATCCTGCCCTGCTGGAGCTTTGTGTCTGGCAGGGAGGTGGGTGTTGGAGTCACCATCCAGACAGCCGTAAGTGTGCGCTAGATACGAGCCACATGGGAGGAGCCACTAGTACGAGGGCACCTCTGGGGGTCCCTGGAGGAAGTGGGGAGCAGGAGGTGACCTGGCCACCGCTCGTCACTCCCCAGGACCCCAGCGCCTGTCCTGCTGACCCGGAGGAAGCAGGCAGCACGTGTAACTGGTGGTGGGCGTGACCTGGAGCTCCGGGCTGGACAGGGGACCCCTCGGGATGGGGCGGGAGGCACGACGTGGCGGTCAGCCGCCCTGCTTCCTGCAGCCCGCCCTGCTCCCAGGCTGCGGTTGAACTGCGCGATCCTGGAGGAAGCACAAAGCCACACGGGGCCAAGGCCGACTCCTTGGCACGTCCTCCGGGTTCCTCGTGTCCCGTGCGTTTCTTCTGATCCACTGCCCCGCCCTCCTAGGGCCCAGCACGATGAGGGGTGCTCAGGACGGCGGGCGTGTGAGGTCTGCGTACCCCGAGCATGTCCCGCCTCCCACGAGGACCATGAGCCCCCAGAGGGCAGGACCCGTGTGCTGCTCACCAACGCGGACCTGCTCGTGGCTACGCAGACATTTGTGCAGTGGGGCCTGGTGTGGTGACCCTCACAGACGGGGCCGTGGGTTCCGGGGAACTTTGTATTCTCGCCCATAGCACAGACTCGCTGCTTAAACACCAGCGTGTTGCAGCTCAGCATTTGCCTTTGACAATCACGGCAGGGCTGGGAGGAAGTTGGAGGAAGTTTCAGGGGCGAGCAGGCAGTAGACTCAGTAACCGCGGCTGCCCGGGCCAGAGCACGTCATTGTTGCCTTGTACTGCCCACAGGTGGTGGCCCTAGGACACTCTGCCCTGTAGTTTAAAGAACAAGTGAGAGAGAGGGGGAGGGAGGCGGGAGAGAGAGAACAAGCGAAAAAGAAAGCTCACAGCCTGCTTTTTAAATGTTCTTTTTTAATTGACCTGAATAAGCATTTTCTTAATAGTCCACCCTCTCCTTCCCTGTCCTCTGCCTGACCCCTCAGGGGGACAGCGTCTGCTGCGGGAACACGCCTAATTCCTCACTTGGCCGACCGCTCGAACTTGCCAAGGTCCTACGAGGCGCGAGGGTGTTGAAAAGGGCGACGCGCAGGCTGAGCCTCTCGGGGCTCCCTGAGGGGAGATGCCACTAATTTCACGGGGTCTCTGTGGGGTCAGGTGGGGTCAAGACAAGCTTGCTGGTGTTGGCGCTGCCGGAACTGGGCTGTAAGTGCGTGGGAAATGTCAGCGCGCAGGACGGGGAGGAGGGCGGGCAGGGCCGGCGCGTGGAAGTGGGCGGCCGGGAGCCAGGTGCCTCCCACGCCGGGGGCTCTCGGGCTAAGCATGAATGGAATTCTTGTAGCCTACTTTGCAGACTGATCAATAGTCTGTGACATTAAAATGTTTGAGTGCGGTAGGCCATTTTCTGCTTCAAATGTCCTACAACCTGCTGGGATCAGCACACCGCGGCGGGTCGATCGCACCTGCTCCTGCTTCAGTGGGCTCGTGATGGATGGAAGTTTGTTAACCGCGGCCCCACTCGGTGGGCTCGCGGGCCTGCCGGGGTTCCTGAGAGTGTCCTCCCAGGCCCACGGTCCATTCCGTCTCCTCTTTGCCCCTTCGCAGGAAACTTGGGGCGTTCCTTGTTCAGTTTCTTGATATCGTTTTTGTTTTTTTTCTCATTCACTTGTCTTCTAATTCTTGGCTTCTGTCTTTTGCCTGCAATTGTGCATGTTCTAAAAACCTAATTGTGCTTCTGTTTTTATTGATAGCAGCTCAAAGTCACTTTGGTAAGGAGCGTAGACGGTACAAAGGGAAACCTTACGCACCACCACGTCCCGCCGACGTGGGCCCGTGGCCACGCACCAGGGCAGACCAGGAGCTGCCCGGACATCTCCACGCCCCGCGGCTGCCGCCACAGTCCACTCATTTCACTCCTCGGACATTCCTCGCCTCCTCCTCGCGCCCTGTGTGCGTGGTAAGGATGCTGCAGGCCACGAGGGGACGCGCAGGGCCTGGAGCTGGCGGGCTTGGCCCTGCTCGGGAGGGGCGTGCGCTTCCGACAGCAAAGCCGGTGAGGAAGACTGCGAGGCTGTTGAACTTTGGGAAACACCGTAGTCTCC